AAGAGACATTTATTGTCGAAATCCGGATATGGTGTACAAATTTTTGCACCTCATGTTTGCGGTATACCATCTTTTCCGCAAGTTTATTGTTTTCTGTTTGGTAATAATTTAATAATAAGATCTGTTTTGTTACATCTTGTGATCCGTTTATTTGGCAATCGCCAATGGCAGTCAGCAGGGTTTAAGAACATCAGTTGTTCGACCTGCTAGTCAAATGCGTTTTGTTAAAATATACTTTTTGACTCATTTGGTCATTTGGAAAATGTTGTTTGTGCTGTAGTTAGACCCATCTACCAAGAAATTTGTTTTGCATGCACACGTATAAAAATTGCGGTTTTTATCCAACGCAATCATAGGTTTGAACGTTGTTTTCAATTTAGACTTGTTTATATTTTTTCGGTTGGGCTTGTATTATATTTGCCTTCGGGTTTATATGATCCGTTCATCCTATTTTGACTCTTTCAAAATTCAAGAGTCTATCCTAAATTGAGGTAAATTATATGGCCTTCCAAATACCGTTTCGATTCCTTACATCACTGAAGAGACATTTATTGTCGAAATCCGGATATGGTGTACAAATTTTTGCACCTCATGTTTTTGCACCTCATGTTTGCGGTATACCATTTTTAATTAAATCTGTTTTGTTACATCTTGTGATCCGTTTATTTGGCAATCGCCAATGGCAGTCAGCAGGGTTTAAGAACATCAGTTGTTCGACCTGCTAGTCAAATGCGTTTTGTTAAAATATACTTTTTCACTCATTTGGTCTTTTGGAAACTGTTGTTTGTGCTGTATTTAGACCCATCTACCAAGAAATTTGTTTTGCATGCACACGTATAAAAATTGCGGTTTTTATCCAACGCAATCATAGGTTTGAACGTTGTTTTCAATTTAGACTTGTTTATATTTTTTCGTTTGGGCTTGTATTATATTTGCCTTCGGGTTTATATGATCCGTTCATCCTATTTTGACTCTTTCAAAATTCAAGAGTCTATCCTAAATTGAGGTAAATTATATGGCCTTCCAAATACCGTTTCCATTTCCTAACATCACTGAAGAGACATTTATTGTCGAAATCCGGATATGGTGTACAAACTTTTGCACCTCATGTTTGCGGTATACCATTTTTAATAAGATCTGTTTTGTTACATCTTGTGATCCGTTTATTTGGCAATCGCCAATGGCAGTCAGCAGGGTTTAAGAACATCAGTTGTTCGACCTGCTAGTCAAATGCGTTTTGTTAAAATATACTTTTTCACTCATTTGGTCTTTTGGAATGTTGTTTGTGCTGTATTTAGACCCATCTACCAAGAAATTTGTATTGCATGCACACGTATAAAAATTGCGGTTTTTATCCAACGCAATCATAGGTTTGAACGTTGTTTTCAATTTAGACTTGTTTATATTTTTTTGTTTGGGCTTGTATTATATTTGCCTTCGGGTTTATATGATCCGTTCATCCTATTTTGACTCTTTCAAAATTCAAGAGTCTATCCTAAATTGAGGTAAATTATATGGCCTTCCAAATACCGTTTCGATTCCTAACATAACTGAAGAGACATTTATTGTCGAAATCCGGATATGGTGTACAAATTTTTGCACCTCATGTTTGCGGTATACCATCTTTTCCGCAAGTTTATTGTTTTCTGTTTGGTAATAATTTAATAATAAGATCTGTTTTGTTACATCTTGTGATCCGTTTATTTGGCAATCGCCAATGACAGTCAGCAGGGTTTAAGAACATCAGTTGTTCGACCTGCTAGTCAAATGCGTTTTGTTAAAATATACTTTTTCACTCATTTGGTCTTTTGGAAAATGTTGTTTGTGCTGTATTTAGACCCATCTACCAAGAAATTTGTTTTGCATGCACACGTATAAAAATTGCGCTTTTTATCCAACGCAATCATAGGTTTGAACGTTGTTTTCAATTTAGACTTGTTTTTATTTTTTCGTTTGGGCTTGTATTATATTTGCCTTCGGGTTTATATGATCCGTTCATCCTATTTTGACTCTTTCAAAATTCAAGAGTCTATCCTAAATTGAGGTAAATTATATGGCCTTCCAAATACCGTTTCGATTCCTAACATCACTGAAGAGACATTTATTGTCGAAATACGGATATGGTGTACAAATTTTTGCACCTCATGTTTGCGGTATACCATCTTTTCCGCAAGTTTATTGTTTTCTGTTTGATAATAATTTAATAATAAGATCTGTTTTGTTACATCTTGTGATCCGTTTATTTGGCAATCGCCAATGGCAGTCAGCAGGGTTTAAGAACATCAGTTGTTCGACCTGCTAGTCAAATGCGTTTTGTTAAAATATACTTTTTCACTCATTTGGTATTTGGAAAATGTTGTTTGTGCTGTATTTAGACCCATCTACCAAGAAATTTGTTTTGCATGCACACTTATAAAAATTGCGGTTTTTATCCAACGCAATCATAGGTTTGAACGTTGTTTTTAATTTAGACTTGTTTATATTTTTTCGTTTGTGCTTGTATTATATTTGCCTTCGGGTTTATATGATCCGTTCATCCTATTTTGACTCTTTCAAAATTCAAGAGTCTATCCTAAATTGAGGTAAATTATATGGCCTTCCAAATAACGTTTCGATTCCTAACATCACTGAAGAGACATTTATTGTCGAAATCCGGATATGGTGTACAAATTTTTGCACCTCATGTTTGCGGTATACCATTTTTAATAAGATCTGTTTTGTTACATCTTGTGACCCGTTTATTTTGCAATCGCCAATGGCAGTCAGCAGGGTTTAAGAACATCAGTTGTTCGACCTGCTAGTCAAATGCGTTTTGTTAAAATATACTTTTTCACTCATTTGGTCTTTTGGAAAATGTTGTTTGTGCTGTATTTAGACCCATCTACCAAGAAATTTGTTTTGCATGCACACGTATAAAAATTGCGGTTTTTATCCAACGCAATCATAGGTTTGAACGTTGTTTTCAATTTAGGCTTGTTTATATTTTTTCGTTTGGGCTTGTATTATATTTGCCTTCGGGTTTATATGATCCATTCATCCTATTTTGACTCTTTCAAAATTCAAGAGTCTATCCTAAATTGAGGTAATTTATATATGGCCTTCCAAATACCGTTTCGATTCCTAACATCACTGAAGAGACATTTATTGTCGAAATCCGGATATGGTGTACAAATTTTTGCACCTCATGTTTGCGGTATACCATCTTTTCCGCAAGTTTATTGTTTGCTGTTTGGTAATAATTTAATAATAAGATCTGTTTTGTTACATCTTGTGATCCGTTTATTTGGCAATCGCCAATGGCAGTCAGCAGGGTTTAAGAACATCAGTTGTTCGACCTGCTAGTCAAATGCGTTTTGTTAAAATATACTTTTTCACTCATTTTGTAATTTGGAAAATGTTGTTTGTGCTGTATTTAGACCCATCTACCAAGAAATTTGTTATGCATGCACACGTATAAAAATTGCGGTTTTTATCCAACGCAATCATTGGTTTGAACGTTGTTTTCAATTTAGACTTGTTTATATTTTTTCGTTTGGGCTTGTATTATATTTGCCTTCGGGTTTATATGATCCGTTCATCCTATTTTGACTCTTTCAAAATTCAAGAGTCTATCCTAAATTGAGGTAAATTATATGGCCTTCCAAATACCGTTTCGATTCCTAACATCACTGAAGAGACATTTATTGTCGAAATCCGGATATGGTGTACAAATTTTTGCACCTCATGTTTGCGGTATACCATCTTTTCCGCAAGTTTATTGTTTTCTGTTTGGTAATAATTTAATAATAAGATCTGTTTTGTTACATCTTGTGATCCGTTTATTTGGCAATTGTCAATGGCAGTCAGCAGGGTTTAGGAACATCAGTTGTTCGACCTGCTAGTCAAATGCGTTTTGTTAAAATATACTTTTTCACTCATTTGGTCTTTTGGAAAATGTTGTTTGTGCTGTATTTAGACCCATCTATCAAGAAATTTGTTTTGCATGCACACGTATAAAAATTGCGGTTTTTATCCAACGCAATCATAGGTTTGAACGTTGTTTTCAATTTAGACTTGTTTATTTTTTTTCGTTTGGGCTTGTATTATATTTGCCTTCGGGTTTATATGATCCGTTCATCCTATTATGACTCTTTCAAAATTCAAGAGTCTATCCTAAATTGAGGTAATTTATATATGGCCTTCCAAATACCGTTTCGATTCCTAACATCACTGAAGAGACATTTATTGTCGAAATCCGGATATGGTATACAAATTTTTGCACCTCATGTTTGCGGTATACCATCTTTTCCGCAAGTTTATTGTTTTCTGTTTGGTACTAATTTAATAAAAAGATCTGTTTTGTTACATCTTGTGATCCGTTTATTTGGCAATCGCCAATGGCAGTCACCAGGGTTTAGGAACATCAGTTGTTCGACCTGCTAGTCAAATGCGTTTTGTTAAAATATACTTTTTCACTCATTTGGTCTTTTGGAAAATGTTGTTTGTGCTGTATTTAGATCCATCTACCAAGAAATTTGTTTTGCATGCACACGTATAAAAATTGCGGTTTTTATCCAACGCAATCATAGGTTTGAACGTTGTTTTCAATTTAGACTTGTTTATATAGATATATATATATACAATAGTTCTGTATCGTCTTTAGTCGAACTTTAAAAAAAAATAATCTGAAGCTAGAAAAACATTTAACGAAATGACTAAAATATTTTTTGCTTTATGCTTAAAAAATGCTCATATTGTAGTGTTATAGGTTGAGTGCTCTTTCTTTATAACATGAATTATCGATATCATAGTTTAACATTATTTTTATTCTATCAAAATTAAATCTGCATATGGTTCTAGAGTGTTATATTGTCAAATAATCATATCGTAATGAACAACTTTTTAATAGTTTCTCTGATAAATTAAAGAGAAAAAATATTTGTTGTTATAACATGAGTGCTTACCAAATAAATAATATGATATAAAATCAGTAAAATCACTGTTCTCCTATATTATTTTAGTAAAAAGGTGCTTATAGAAGATACAAAATCGTGGGAAGATGCAAAGGTAAGTACCTGCCTTTGAAACATGACTTATTTAGCAAAGATGACCTTAGATGAATTTAGCTATTTTTAGCTTCTTTGATATATTTAGAAATTATCAAGAAACTAGTGTTCTAACTCACTCAGGCAAAGTAGACATTAGGTTGAATTTTGATATTCTTTTAATGTCCCTCTTTGGTCATATACATGTAGCTCCTCAAGTTTTAAAGTATTTATACAACATGACGTTGACTTTCGAATGTTTGGTCAAGTTTGGAGAAGGTTGATCAGAAAGCGTCTGATGCACCAAATTTATAAAATGTTATTTTCATTTTCAATGACTTCGATCTAAGATTTTAGTTTATGTTCCATTTCTTAAATTGTCAATTGTTGATTCATAATATTATATTTCTGCATTACCTCATTCGTTCAGTGTATCATTTATCAAATCTCTCGATAAAGAACTTATTTTGTTTATCTCCCATAGTCTTATATTTTATAGTAACGAAAAGTTTGGAAAATTTTAACAGAGCGTTTCGAAGTACAAGACAATAAATAATTTTGATTTAGGAAATTTCTGGATAATTCAATCATTCCAATACAATTTAATATTCTACTAGTTTACATGCATGTATATAGCTTTGTTTATTTCGTCAGATCTCGACACGGTTCTAAATGAAAAGACAATTTGTCGTATGTCACGAGATTCAACGTTCTATTCATACTTCTTATAAGAAAAATCCGTTTTACCGCTAACCCCAAAATATTTCAACTTACAGATTTAAGTCCATAATGAACATTATATATTTTCTTTGAATTCTAATGAACATCCTCGCTACAGGATTTTCCGATGAGATTTGTTGTATATGTATAACTCTTACGGGTCTCCAAGCAATAGCAAAAACAAAGGGTTGAAGAGAAGTTTGGAAAACATAAAACTGTCTATTTTCAGAAAGTATCATCAGCCCAGTAGTCAGCACTATTGTGTTGGCATAACATATCATTGATACGTTCATTTTTTGTAAATATATTGTTTTTTATCATTAATGTTGAATTATTCGATACATTAAGTTTTTTCTATCCCAGGTATAGATTGCTTTAGCCTTATTTCAAAAATATTTTAGGGAATTTTCGGTTTTTTATGCTCTTCAACTTCGTATTTGATTTGGCCTTTAAACTGTTTGAATTCGATAATCTCTAACGAGTCATCTGTTGACGGAACGCGCGTCTTGAGTACAGAACTATAAAGCTTAGTCTAGTATTTTTGGTTCGTTTTTATAACCTCCGGGTCGATGAAACTGCCGGTGGACGTTTCTTCCCCGAGGGTATCACCAGCCCAGGAGTCAGCTCTTTTGTGTTGACATGAACTATCATTGATAAATTATATTCATTTTTGTAAATTTATTGTTTATAAAATGTTGAATCGTTTGAAAAACTAAAGTATTTCTACCTCAGATATAGACTGCTTTAGTCTTATTTGGCACAACTTTTGGGAATTTTCGGGTTTTCATGCTCTTCAACTTCGTATTTGATTTGGGCTTCAAACTGTTTTAATTTGATAGTAAAGGGTGGGTCATAAGTAGGCGATCGCATGGCTTTCGTACAAAACTATAAGCCTGGCTATCTTTGAAGATTTATTTCAATCAGTATAATTATGCAAATACTCACTCCATAAGGACATGGGATTAGACTGGTTCAGAGGAATCCGTGTCTTAATATTTAATGGAGTTTCATTTTTTCTTAAGAGGCTTAAAAGAGTGTAAACAACATTATTTTTAAAAAATAATGTCAGTATATCAATCCCTTTCTATAGTATTAATGGGAAAATGCCCTAAGACCCACAGAGCTAGATCTGACTATTTTTTATAGTTCTTTAAACCTCATGGGATGACTGTAGTAACGAAATATATAGCAATTCGTTCGCATCTCCCACCAAACAGTAAAACCACATGCTAAAGAGGGTCATCCAATTGACTTTTTGGGATGTATAAATAAGCAGCCACGTCCAGTCGGAATGGAGAAATTAATTTCGATGCCTCGTGTAGGGATAGTGACTCGCTTACTGCACGATAAACCTTTGCAAGAACTCTTTAAAGGTCCGTGGTGATCTGTTCTCTTTAAAAGATAACCTCCTTTTCCAATTGCAGTCGAAATCCCATCCTTTTACTGGGTCGGCCCACTTTGTAGAACTAAACTATTGGATTTATTGAAAACATTTTCTCGTTCTGACTATGCAGGAAATAGTTGCTATCGAACGTTAAGGATGATTGCTACTCTGTTTCAAAATAACCAGCTTTGTAAAAGACTGTTATAAATTGATAGTATATATATAACTAAACTAAAAAAGCATAAAAAAATGCAAGGTTTCTGTCCTTGTGTTTGAGATATAAGCCATTGCTAATTTGGCGGGAAATGATTCTCTCTAAGTTTTTCTTACAATTAACATTGGCACAAATTATATCTGACTGTAGCGATTTTAGTTTTGATAGTTTAATTTCTAATTGCGTAACATGTCTTTATATGAATACTTTCAGTTTAAATTACATTTCAATAGGGTACCGCTTGCTATTTTTTTATTTGTTATACAAGTTCACCGTCCGGCATTTCTTTAGAACCGCCAGGTACCCCATCTTTGCAACCGTCGGGGTACCGCCTGTAATTTGATATATAAGGGGATGCGAGAGAGATCGGAGAGAGATGTTAGTTAGTGAGATAGTTATCAGTTAGATAAAGAGTGAGAGATAAAAGGAATATTTTCATTACAGCAATTGTTCAGTATTATTATGTTAAACTGGTGTATAATTTATAACAGATTACATTGTGAAATTTATTCAAGACTTTGTGCTGTGCTTTGTTCTCTTTGTGCTATTTCAACATGGATTTTACGAAACTGACGCTACCAAATAAAACACATAGACGAACAAGAATCCATATAAAACGACACGCTACAAATGGTGGCAGCGGTGGGATAGCCACACACAAAGTTTGATATATTCGAAATGAAGATAATTGTTGGAATATCAGTGAGACTTAAACTATTTGACTACATGTTATGATTTTCAGTTCAAATTGTGCTTTAGTATTAATGGTGATGGATCGAAATAGAACTGACTATAACGTTTATCCAATGGATTTTACTAACGTTGGAGAAGAGCAGACTGTTTCTGGAGAACAAAACTTCAGCAATAGAAGACCTTATGCACCAGGATTATTTTCACCAACTAAAGAATATCAAGGGGTACCTAATTCCATTCCAAGGACACCGGGAGATTCCAGAACCGCACACCAGACGGTCCCTGTGACCCCATTTCCAACGCTGCCGACAACTAACATATGGGGTGGTTTCGACGGTAGCAATAATTGGAAGGATGAATCTTCTTATTTCGAGCACACCGATGTCTAATATGAACCAGAGACAACAAATTGCCAACATAGCCGGACTTGATCATAATTGGAAGAAATTCGTTCTTAGATGGATTTGGTTTATCTTAAGCTTGATACTTGTGATCGGATGGTGTTCTGTCACATATCCTTTCCATGACATTGTATGTTGGCTGCAGCAAAATGTTATTTTATTTTTGATTACTCTGCTGATAACATTTCTAGTTTTGGTAATTGTAAAATTATTTATAGATGAAACCTCGAGACGTTTGGAACATTTTGACAACCAAAAAGAAGACAGAAGAAAGACAGCAGATACCGTACGTCAGAAATTGAACTTCGACTTGGACATTCCACATTTTAGAGACAATGTAAAGACTGTCCCTGTGAACTCATCATCACCTTTTCAAGTTAATAGATCCGAAGTTCAGGTAAAGAGAACATTTAGTGGCAGTTGCGATGATGTATTAGCAGACTTTTTACGTTACTTTGAAAACATTGCGACACTTAATGCGTGGAGTGAAGAGAGAAAAAGGTGAGTGTTCTTTATTACGTTAAGAGGACAGGCAGAAACATACGTGCACGGAATTTCTTCAGATATCCAAATGAGATGGGAGAGTTTAATAAATAAGATGGAGTTACAGTTTGGACATTCAAACATGAAAAAAAGCTATCTTGCAGAGGCAAAACTAAGAAGAAGGAAACCTGGTGAATCGTTTAGAGAGTTGGGTTCATCTATAGAAGACTTATACAGGCGCGCATACCCATCTCATCCAGAACTTGTCCAGGAAAATAGTATCAGGTCGTTTCTTGACGCTTGCGGCGAGTCAGAGTAGTTCCGCATGTTCATAAGGCAAACTAAGCCTAAGATACTTCAGGAAGCTGTCTCGAGCGCCATGCAAGAAGAATGTATACGAATTAATGTAGGAAATGTGAATAAGGTTAACAGGAGATATAATGTATATACAGTAGAAAAAGAAAGTGATGTCCAAGAACCAAATTTAAAGAAGAACAGTTTTCAGAAAGTTCAATGAACAACCGAAGATATCAAAACAAAAGAAATAGACATTGTACGAATTATGGGAAAAAAGGTCACACAAGAGAATACTGTTGGGGTACGATACACATGACCAACCATAACATGCCAAACGGTACCAGATAAGAACACCGGAAGACCGGAAATAAACGAACACTTAAAACAAAAACAATCAGCGAAATGTGACGAAATTTAACTTTATATGCGTGTGAAAGTGTACGTATAAACATTGACTTGAGTTGAGCTATATTTAGCTTGTGTAGTGGTCAGTTAATCTATTTTTAAAACAATAGTAGTAGTAGACTAGTTTTGTTCCCTTCAATGAAATAGGAATTTAAATTGCTAGTTGGGGAGGGGTTAGCGATTTTAGTTTTTGTAGTTGAATTTCTAATTGAGTAACATGTCTTTATATGAATACTTTCAGTTTAAATTAAATTTCAAAAGGGTACAGCCCGCTTTTTTTTTTATTTGAACGGTGTCTAAGTTGTATAAGTTCACCGTCCGGTATCTCTTTAGAACCGCCAGGTACCCCATCTTTGGAACCGTCGGGGTACCGCCTGTAATTTGGTATATAAGGGGATGCGAGAGATATCGGAGAGAGATGTTAGTTAGTGAGATAGTTATCAGTTAGAAAAAGAGGGAACGATAAAAGTAATATTTTCATTAACAATTGTTCAATATTATTATGTTAAACTGGTGTATAATTTATAACAGATTACAATGTGAAATTTATGCAAGACTTTGTGTTGTGCTTTGGTTCTCTTTGTGCTATTTCAACATGGATTTTACGAAACTGACGCTACCCAATAAAACACATAGACGAACAAGAATCCATATAAAACGACACGGTACATGACTAATTAAAAAGTCAAAAACAAGACAATCAAACATCCTTTAGCAACACAAAATAATCAATCAATGAAATTGTTTATTTTTATGTGTTCTTGAAGAATGCAAAAAACAAAAGATGCGTACACTCTTCTTCATGGATAGGAAGGGAGGTAATCCGTTGCATCACATATATTCTATATGATAGACTATGGTCCTTTGTTCACAAGCTTAAATCGTATAAGACTTTATAATCGCATGACTATAATCATACATGAATCGTGTTAAAACTAGTAGACACGAATGTAATAAAGGTCTTTATGGATTTATTTGTCTCATTGGCAAAAGTACCACATCTCCTTATTTTCATATCAATATTTTGTAGAAAAAACCTTCATAAACGTCTTGGGATATTATACTGTCTTAGAAATAGTAATTTTTAACTTTCAGTGACAAAGACATAGGTATCATTTTGACAAGTAAAAATGCTAACTGTTTCTACAAAGTAGAATATTATGACAGTTTACCTTACTTTGAAAGGAGTATTAATCACTGCATGTATGTTCAATGTATTTTTATTGTCTTTACAGAATCATTGTGTTACCATAGGCGGTAATCTTGCTGAGGTGAAAGGTACACCAGAACATGAATACATCCTGAACTTGTTATCAGGTAAATATTATTTCTTCAGTTTCAGAAAACAGAAAAGTACATCAAATCAGAAGACGAAATTGAGATTATTTTAGAATATTAAAGATTCTTATGTCTAAATAGTATCAGTCACATTGTCGGTGTCGATGTGGTTTGACATACTTCTTACCTTACACAATTATTATGGAATATGGTTTCCTTTTGTCAGCGTTGGATACTGAGGCGGGAGCAAATACTAAGTACTAGTATTGTTAATGCATCGTCACGAAATGATGGATCCGTCTGACATTCAAACTAATGGTTACAATGGGATTTATGCTTTATTTAGTATTATTGTTATTTTTTACGTAATCATTTGATAATTCATTGGGCCATGCTTTACATTGGCTAGAGGTATAGGGGGAGGGTTGAGATCTCACAAAACATGTTTAACCCCGCCGCATTTTTGCGCCTGTCCCAAGTCAGGAGCCTCTGACCTTTGTTAGTCTTGTATGTTTTTTAATTTAAGTTCATTTATATGTTTTGGAGTTTAGTGTGGCGTCAATTTTCACTGAACCAGTACAGAATTTTATTTAGGGGCCAGCTGAGGACCACCTCCGGTTGCGGGATTTTCTCGCTGCGTTGAAGACCCATTGGTGGCCTTCGACTGTTGTCTGCTCTTTGGTCGGGTTGTTGTCTCTTTGACATATTCCCCATTTCCATTCTTTATTTTATTTAAATTCGAAATAATTTAAAATCTCAGATTAAACATCTTATCGGTGTATATAACAAATTTAAAAATAATATTCTTGAGTGTACACGCGATGTGTTTTTTTTTCTGTTTTTGTTTTTGTTTTTTTATTCTGGTATACGTACCATTTTACAAATTCAACTTCCTGATTTTTTTTCTTTCAAAACATAGCTTACTTAACCATGTTTATCTTTAGGAACAAGCAGTCTTTATGTCTGGATCGGCGGTCATCACCATATTGATTCAGGAAAATGGATATGGAATACAACGTCCGATGAGATTTTGGTCCCTCATAAAGAATGGCCATGGGAAAAATCAAGACCAGACAACCATGGAGGAAACCAACATTGCTTGACTTACTGTCACTTCCAAGGACTAGGGTATCTCTGGGATGATCGTGAATGTACGAGAACAAACAGTTTTATTTGCGATTTGTGAATATGCGAGAAGTGATTGGACAATAACATTATATATGTTGTAAACATTCAATTTATATAAAAAAAAATATATTAACCAATGTTTTTTTCATATTTCTTAGCTATTGATATTACATAACATAAAATTTGATATCGGTTCAAATCGTTTCTAAATATTAATCTATAAATTTTAATGTACGGTTTCGTCCGTCTACAGTATACAATACCATAAGATGGCAACTTTAATCATATTTCAACATTGATTTAGATTTAAGCGCTCTTTGTCGAAGTAACAAAGAACATATGAATTTCTTTTTAATGTATGGAAATTAGTATAGTACGCCTTAAATTTCTTGATTTCAAATAAAATGTTGTCAAGAATATGACCAAGGGAGAGACAGGGTTGACGCAGGACGATTGTCCTTACATATAGAGTCGTCACTTACCGCTAGGGTACAATGACGGGAGATAATAAAGCTGCCTAATTTCCTGGCCATAATTTTCTTGCGTTAGGTCGCGTAACATGCCATTGACAAAGAGTCGTCTAGGAAAGTAGTGTGTGTAAAGGGGGAAACATAGATGGATAATAAGCTACATATGAGTATATTTTTGCAAAATGTTTAAGAAAATTATATAGGAAACACTAAAAAAAAAGACTAGTCGTAGAGTGACATTGATATGCTTAGATAAGTAACATAAGGATATTTTGCAACTATTCCACCTTAATGAACAATTTAACTGACATATCAATATATATCAAAAAAAAGTTTTGACCGCGTAAGAAACCGGACCAAACCGATGCTTATATTTTTTTTCAAGGGTGGAAAAATTACTTAAATCACTTTTTGATTATAATTCTTGTTAACACAAATCTCTTTGTTGTTACTGTGCTATAATCTCGATAATGCTAAGGTGTGCATTAACTACCTCAGATATACTGCACAGTTCAAATGTACAAGTGTTTCTCATTTCTTGGAACATTTATTTGATATTTTGTGTACAGCGTTTATCTTATATCTGTGTTTCAAAGTCAGACAAGATTATTATAAACTTTGTTTGCCATTTCTTAAAATATTTAAAAATATCCAAATTATTGAAATCTGATTTGGATTAGTGTCGTACGAAATGGAATTGATTACGACTTTTTGTCTCGCCTTGACGGAGTCAAAAAGCGACACATAGCTATGCTGTTGTCGGCGTCGGCGGCGGTCGCGTCAACAATGTATTAGTTTGTGATTAGGTCTAGTTTAAGGAGAACCACTAGTGGTTGGTCAATGATATTTGGTATGCAGTTGAATTAGCACTGGCACATCTCATTTCCATAGAGATTATTTGGCCCTGCCCCCTCAGTCATGGTCTATTGACTTTGAAACCTTTGCTTAGTTTACATGTATTAGTTTGTGATTAGGTCAGTTTATGGGAAACCACTAGTGGTAAATCAATGATATTTGGTATGCAGTTGTATAAGCATTGGCATATCTCATTTCCATGGAGATTATTTGGCTCCACCTCCTCAGTCAAGGTCTATTGACTTTAAAACTTTTGCCTAGTTTACATGTATTAGTGTGTGATTAGGTCAGTTCAAGGGGAACCATTAGTGGTAAGCCAATGTTAATTGGTATGCAATTGTATAAGCATTAGCACATTTCATTTTCATGGAGAATATTTGGTCCCGCCCCTTCAAGGTCTATTGACTTTGAAACTTTTGCTTAGTTTACATGTATTAGTTTGTGATTAGATCAGTTGAAGATGAACCGCCAATGTTAAGTCAATGATATTTGGTATGCAAATCTATTGGCATTTGCAAGTCTCATTTCCATTGAGATTATATAGCCCCACTCCCTCATCATGGTTCATTGACTCTGAAACTTTTACATAGTTTACAAGTCAATGTTTGCGTTAATGTTTGTTGAAAGGGAACGACTTATGATAAGTCTATGGTATTTGGTATGCAGTTGTATTAGCATTGGCACATCTAATTTCCATGGAGATTGTTTTGCCATGTACCTTCAGTCATGGTTCATTGACTTTGAATATTTGCATAGCTTACATGTTAAAGTATTGCTATTTTAATTTCAACATTTGCATTATCAAAAGTACAAAAAGGCGAGACATATCTCTGTGTTAACAGTTTATTACATATTAATTCCATTTTCGGAACTATTTTAGGGATCGAGTTTAATGAGGTTTATATTCAAATAGGGGGGAAATATACTAGTAAGTTGGAGATCAATCAGACTTCGTTTACATTCGACATGTCTTCAAAATTAATACAGTTGAAAAATTGTGGGGGAGGGGGAAAGTTAAATATTAAAAAGTAAAACGTCTTTAGTTGTAGTTTACTTATAAGTTATACATTTATCTCTCTTCGAATAATCTTCCTCTAAGCATATTCTTTAGGGAAAGAAAAGCAATTAATCTATACTCAATAGCACTTTCAGTTATGATTTGTCAAAAACCGATTTGAAAGTACTTCAAACGGAACTAAAATGTAGAAAATGTGAGTTATATGTCAATAAGACAGCAATCAAACGACAATAACCATCTAAGGACATCTAGAGGGTGGCATACAGTGTTCAATAATAGACAGATGTCTACACAATATGTCCAGTTCTAAATCGTCACGAATTTATATAAAAATTGTGAATAAATTGAACAGAAACTATAAAAGATATGCCATTAAAACGGAATTCTCCAAATAATGTAACAATTTGGGAGGAAGCCTGAATATCAAAAAAAAAATTAAATATTATTAATTCAAAAGTTACCAACATTTTACTACTTATAAAGGCATATTTCCCGCTGAAGCTTTTTTTATGGAGATAACTGAATGAGCATACAAAAAAGAAATGCACGATAGTTAATTAAGAACAATAACAGACAATTCCCTTTGCATGTAAGTTTTTTGTTATTAAGAAGAGTTACAGGTACAACTTCTGGGTTAAAATGAAGTAATTATTTACATAGGCGACAATGGTAGGCTTTTTGGGTTCTGCGTTTTCACTATAAAAGATCCGTAAAAAAAACTGTAAAAGTCTTAAATTTTCAACACCTTTGGGTGTGAATAGAACTACAAAACACATATGGTGCCGCAGCTTTATTGATAGAAAAATGGCATTTTAAAGGGTACTCTATAGTTCCGGAATGGTACGAATTAAGAACACCTCATGCTTAATCTAGCACAGAAAATGTTGCTCATCACAGAGAGTTTCCTCCAAATTTCTCGCTATTTCTACAACAATAGCCAACACTCATTTCTCACTATTTCAATTTTGTTTTCTAATTAACAGGGCGCCAGAAAATAAATTTATTTTACCTAGTATTATCTTAGATGTTATGTATATATCTTTATTCTGTCAAACCTTTGCAATTACAATGGTATACAGACACTACATGACATCAATAGATACAGACATAAATACATGTATGCACAGAGCAAAATATGTACACTATTTACAATTATACTGATTGTATTTAGCCAGGAGAGCACACATGAGAATATATATCTAATCAAGGTACACAGCTTTCTTAATTTAGATTTTTTGGTTAGATTTATAAGTTCCTTAAATATCAATATATTTGAGCGAGATACATACTTTTTATCAATATATGTTTTTCTTTTTATTGACATATCTTGACACTTCATAATATAATGAAACTCATCTCCAAGATCTTTTGAATTACACAATTTACAAGTTCGTCTATCTCTCTGAATATTTGTCCATCTCCCTATCTCAATAGGCAATTTATGGTTGATGGTTATAAATTTGCATAAAGTGTAAATATCGCCAAATTCTAAAATATGTAAATAGTTCTCAAAGCCAAAAGTATCCTTAAAATTGCGATAATTTAATGTCTTCAAACATGCTTGCACATTTAAAAACCATGTTTGTTGAAACTGATCTTGGAGTGATCTTCTGATGGTACTCTTTAACCAAATGTCACTTATTATACATGTTTGAGATAACCAAAAAAAAGATAGTCCCGTTTCATTAAAAAAAGATTTTGACTACCTGATTTAACCAACTAAAATTTATATCATTTTCATTTGACAGCTTACACAGTAGTTTTTAAATGGTAGCTGATAATTTAGTTGGTTTTCTACATACTAGTTTCACCCAAAATAATATATTTTAATATCTAAATGTATGGGATATCGTTTTGAAGCTTTTTCTGCTATGTGTTTTCTACAATATTTGAATGTGCCATTTCGGGAAAAATAGATCCCAAGATAGTTAAATTCTTGAACGAGTTATCATATGTAAAACTAAGATTTCTGGGTTGTCTACCTTTACTTACAATTACAGTTTTTGTTTTTTCAACATTAACTTTCATTTCAAGACATTACAATATGACTGGAATTTATCAAGCAACAATTTAAGGTTCTTGGCAGATTCCGCCATTAGCACAGTATCATCTGCATAGAGAATTGCAAAAATTTTAACATGAATATCCAATTTTTCTTCTAGTGCATCTTCAATAGTGTTCAAACCAATCAAGTTCTCGTTGATAAAAAAGTTTTCGAAATCATTTGAGAAAAGTGAGAACAGAAAAGGAGATGCATTTTCCCCTTGACGTAGACCAACATTGCTAGAAAAATAATCTGTGTATTGCCATTGTAAGATAAACATGACTTAATATTATCATACATCTTATAAATTATTGTATACATATGCCCATTAATGTTAATCAATAACATCTTATACCATAAAGCGTCTCTTCTGACTGTGTCAAACGCTTTTTCAAAATCCACAAACGCACAAAACATTTTTTTCTTTTTTAATTTCAAGATTTTAAAGAAAGAATGCAGTATAAATATACAATATACTGTTGAATATTCACTTCTAAATCCAAATTGATTTTCATACATTAATTAAACTTTGATAATCTATGACATAAAATCGAAGTGAATAATTCCCCAACACAACTGACAATTGTGATAGGTCTATAGGCTTTTGGATCAAATTTGTTTCACTTATTCTTATAGAATGGCTTGATCGTGCCAATTACCAAAGATTCTAGTACAATCC